CGGTGCCTCCAAATGCGCCTTTCGGCGCCAACTCAAATATGCAGAATGTTGGTCAAGTCTAAACAATGTTCAAACTTGACTGCTGCCACTATCTTGGTCATCATATCTGCAGGATTCTCCGTCGTCTTGACTTCTTTAACACAACAGTTCCATCTTCTAGAATCTCCCGCACAAAGTGATAGCGAACATCAATATGCGTCGTTCTTGCATGAAATACTTGATTTTTCGCTAAGTGAATAGCGCTCTGACTGTCACAATGCACTAAGACGTGCTTTTGACCAACTCCCAAGTCTTCAAGCAAATTTTGAAGCCAAATAGCCTCCTTCACAGCTTCAGTAACCGCCATATACTCTGCCTCTGTTGTAGACAAAGCAACTGTTGACTGTAAGGTAGACTTCCAACTGACTAGAGCTTTTGCAAAAGTGAACAAATATCCAGTCGTTGATCTTCGCTTATCCAAATCACCCGCGTAGTCAGAATCACAATATCCAACTACACACTGACCAAATTCATTCTGCTCATAAACCAATCCAACGTCTACAGTACTATGAATGTACCGTAGAATCCATTTCACAGCTTGCCAATGACCTTTCCCAGGGTCATGCATATACCTGCTAATAACACCAACTGCTTGTGAAATGTCGGGCCTTGTACACACCATCGCATACATCAAACTGCCAACTGCATTTGCATATGGGACTCTAGTCATGTACTCTCGTTCTTCATCACAATTTGGCGATAATTGGGCAATTAACTTCAAATGAGGGGCAAGTGGTGTACTTACTGGCTTCGACCCATCTTTTATGCCGAAACGCTGTAGTACCTTATTCAGATATTGCTTCTGAGTCAAACAAAGCTTGCCTCTCATTCTGTCCCTGCTTATCTCCATCCCGAGTATCTTCTTAACTTCCCCCAAGTCTTTTATCTCAAACTCTTGATTCAATTGAGCCTTCAGTTTATCAATCTCCACTTGGCTCATTGATGCAACTAACATGTCATCCACATACAAGAGTAAGTAAATGAAAGATCCATCTTGCAGTTTGCGTAAATACACACAATGATCATGTCTACTTCGCGTGTACTTCTGCCCAATCATGAACTTATCAAACCGTTTGTACCACTGCCTCGGAGATTGCTTCAGTCCGTACAATGATTTGTTCAACTTACAGACCCAATTCTCTTTTCCAAGAATTTTGAATCCTTCTAACTGAGTCATGTAGATTTCCTCATCCAATTCTCCGTGTAAGAACGTCGTCTTCACGTCAAGTTGAGCTAGCTCTAAATCTAATTGTGCTGCTAAGGCCAACAAAATTCTAATGGAAGAGTGTTTAACAACTGGAGAAAACACTTCATTATAATCAACTCCTTCCTTCTGAGTGTAGCCTTTAGCCACTAACCTTGCCTTGTAGCGCACATCATTCTTATGAGGAAATCTATCTTTCTTTGCAAATACCCACTTGCATCTTATCGCCCTTTAGCCTTTTGGTAGTTGCGTCACCTTCCAAGTTTGATTCTTCTGGAGAGACAACATTTCTTCCTCCATAGCCCACTTCCACTTCTCATTTTCTAAACTTTGAATTGTATCTTGAAAAGTGAAAGGTATGTCATCATCAACAATTGGAAGTGCATAAGCCGCCATATCCGCCAATCGAGCAGGTTGTTGAATCTCTCGTCTAGGCTTTCTCAATGCAATGGGTAAATCTAAAGAACTTCATCATCCGACAAATCGTTTGATATTGTTTCGTCGATCATAGCTGGTTGTCTCGTCATCGCATCTATCTCCACCTGCTTCGGTGTCAACTCCACCTGTTGGGTTTGCATCGTCTTCATCATACTTTGTTCATCGAATGTAACATTCCTGCTAAACACAGTTTTCTTCGTCTCAAGACACAAAAGACGATATCCCTTCACGCCAATTGTGATTCCCATGAACAAAGCCTTTTTCGCTCTTGGATCTAACTTTGAATCCTTCACATGATAGAACGTAGGACACCCAAAGACATGTAAAGATCCATAGTCAGCAACAAGTTTCCCCAACCAAACCTCCAACGGTGTTTTACCATCTTTTGCAGATGACGGCAAACAATTTATGAGGTGTTGTGCGTATGTTACAGCCTCAGCCCAGTACTCCTTGCCCAAACCAGCATTGGACAACATACATCGAACTTTCTCCACCAATGTTCGATTCATGCGCTCCGCCACCCCATTTTGTTGTGGTGTCCGTCTAACGGTGAAGTGCCTAACAATGCCATTTTTACGGCAAACTTCTTGAAAGGGATCACTTGTATATTCTCCACCATTGTCCGTTCGTAGGACCTTGATCTTCCTTCCAGTCTGATTCTCAATTTGTGTCTTCCATGTAATAAAGACACCAAGCACTTCATCCTTCGTCTTCATAGTGTACACCCAAACACGTCTAGAAAAGTCATCGATGAAAGTGATAAAATAGCGTCTTCCGCCTAATGATGGGGTCTTAGAAGGTCCCCACACGTCCGAATGAACATAATCCAAGACACCTTCGGTATTATGGATAGCCGTTCCAAACTTCACTCTCTTCTGCTTTCCCAGAACACAGTGCTCACAAAAGTCTAGTTTGCACACTTTGACATCTTTCAATAGTCCTTGTTTTGCCAATGTTTGCAAGGACTTTTCACCAGCATGTCCCAACCGCATATGCCACAACTTGACTGCTTCAGACTCCTTGTTGGTGGAATCTGCTACTGTTACTGTCCCAACAACCGTATCACCTTCATAGTAATACAAATTATTCCTCCTTATGCCTTTCATCACCACGAGCGAGCCGGATGTAGCCTTCATAACTCCATCTCGCAAAGTCACTACCAAGCCTTTGGATTCCAAAGCTCCTAATGAGATGAGGTTTTTCTTCAAACTCGGCACATATCGAACATCCGTCAAAACTCTGGTGGAACCATCGCGATTCTTCAAACGGATTGAACCTATCCCAGTTGTCTTACAGGAATTATCATTACCCATATAGACAACCCCTCCATTGATCTCCTGAAAATTGAAGAACCACTCCCTTATGGGAGACATATGGTAGGTGCATCCTGAATCCAAAATCCATTCGTCTGGATGAGATGATGAAGGTGAAACCACAAGTGAAAATTCTGAGTCTTCACTTCCACCCTCAGCAACATATGCATCTTGAGGAGATTTGCCCTTCTTCTTCAACTTAGGACAGTCTTTCTTCCAGTGTCCCTTCTCATGGGAGAAAGCACACTCGTCTTTTTCAAGCTTGGCTTTGGAACGTGATCTTCCTCGTCCATTCTTCTTTTGGCTCTTCGACCGACCTCTTGCAACCAACGCTTTATCTTCTGCTGCTGCATTCTTCGTCTCTTGTTTGTTCTTCTTTCTCAACTCATAGCTATACAGAGCAGAACTGACCACTGCAAGAGTTACATCGTCCTTCCCATGGAGCAGAGTAGTCTCTAGGTGCTCGAAGTCATCTGGAAGTGATGATAACAACATAAGAGCCAAATCTTCATCGCTGAATGTGACGTCCAAGTTCAACAAATCTGCAACCAATTGATTGAATGCAGTGACGTGGTCATTCATCGATGTGCCATGCCGGTACTCGAATCGGAACAATCGTTTCTTCATGAGGAGCTTATTCTGGCCGCTTTTCTTCAGAAATTTATCCTCCAAAGCCTTCCACAAAGTGTGAGCAGAGTTCTCATTCTTGAACGCATACTTCTGCTCCCTCGACAAACACGAACGAATTGTTCCACATGCTAAGCGGTTGATATTCTTTCAGTCCTTCTCTTCAACGTCTGTTGGCATCTTTTCTTCAATCGCAATGTCGACGCCTTGCTGAAATAAACAATCCAGCACCTCGCCTTGCCACATGCCGAAATGACCGGCCCCGTCGAAGATCTCCACCGGGAGTCTGACGTTCGGCATCACCGTCCTTGCCGGAATGAATGCAGAGGATGATGCGCCCTTGACCTCCTTGGACATCTCGGACCCGAATGCAGTGCTCGCCTCTCCGAATGAGCCTGGGACGAACCTTCGACTCTAATACCACTTGTTGGGGTATCACAACAAGCGCAGTGGACAA